CCCACGTGTGGAGTGCAGAGAAGGGGGGCCGGGTCCAGGCGCGCCCCAGGAGCTGCATGAGGGGGTTCTGAAGGCCCCGTGCTCCCATACGCCCTCCCGGGGCCCGGGGCCTTGGGGAGCTCAGCCCAGCCTGCTCAGGCTGCAGTTGCTCCTTCCTGCCCGCCTGGCTCTGACTGGGAAGGGGCCAGAGGCCTGCACCCAGCACAGACCACCAGGGGCATGCACCCCGCCCTGCCCCTCTGCTGCTCTGGGCCACCGCTGGAGAGAGGCCAGTTCTGGGGGCCCGCGGCCTCCGTATGCAGCCCCAGTTTGGGGGGGAGGGTGCTCCCTGCTCTGGGCAGGGGTGAGCCGCAGCCCTGGGCCGCACGAACCTTTCCGACACGTCTCCCCAAGGACGACTCTGGACCAGACACAGAACCCGCAAAGATGTGGGTGGAGACAGGAGACAGGAGAGGGGTGTCCTTGGGGAAGGGGCGCACATCCGATCCCCGACATCTGGTGGGAGCAGCCACCGCCGTTCCTGAAATCAGAAGGGGAAGGGATTGACAGGGGGTGGGGGCGCCTGGAGGCCTGGAAGAAAGGAATGCCGGGCACGCTGCCGCCGTGCGGCCTGCCCTGCGTCCTGGACGGCTGCCGGGCCCAGCTGAGGACTGCGGGGCTCGGACCTCTGCGTGACCCTCTCACCATGCTGGGCCTGGCCCGAGTCCGGCTGCGCTGGGCCCTGCGCCTCGCCCGCCAGGGTCCCCGGTGTTGCCCGCCCAGACGGGGCTCTCCCCACGGCACTGCTGCGGGCCGGCGGGGACATTCGAGGTCGCTGGCGTGTTCTCACCCCGGCCCCGAGCAGCTGCCCCGCCTGGCCACCGCAGCTGCCCTCCCGCATCACGGTCCCGGCTGCCGGCAGCCGTGACCACGCAGGGTCCGGTGCAGCGTCTGCCCCGGGGGAGCAGCCCAGGGAGCCTCCAGGCCCAGGTCCCCGCCACAGAGGCGGGAGGGGGCTGCTGTGGGCCCGGGGGACCGAGCTGGCCCAGGTGCTGCCCTGAGTGGAGGGGCCCACGAGGAGGGCCTTGGCACCCCGCCGAGACCCCTGCCGCCCCACTCCCCGAGCCCCGAGGGGACGGGCCAGGTCGGTCCTGCGCCTCTGGTCTCCAGCCCAGACTCCCGCAGCTCTGGGCCGTGGACGGTGGGGTGCGGCGGGGTGCGGTGGGGTGCGGCAGGGTGCGGCGGGGTGCGGCGGGGTGCTGGCAGGACGCAGGGCACTGGCCTCTGACCTGGCCCCAAGCTCACCTCCAAATGGCCACTCCCCTCTCACGCCGGCTCAGTGCCGTCTTCCACCCATGGGGGCTCAGGAAAAAACCAGATAACGCTGGCAAACGGGTCACAGCATCCTGATGTCCCCAGAGGCCCCAGCACGGAACACGGACGCTCAGCGGGCGCCGGTCTGAGACGGGAGTCGGGGCCATGGGCAGCAGGGCTGTTGGCCTCACCCACGGGCTTATTCTGCTACAGCACCCCCAGACTGCCCCCCAGGCTTCCAGGGGCAGGTACACACAGTCTGCTGGAGAGTGCGAGCACGTAGGAGCATATGGCCAGCTGGCCAGCTCTGCCCGGGGTGATGTGGGCGGACGGCCCAGAGCCAGGCACTGGCCTGGGGGCAGGGGCTTGCACAGAGGCGTCAAAGCACTCCTGGAGCCCTTTACGGGGCCCACAAGTGGCCCCGGAGCCCCCGGCAAGCTGGAAGGTGGGAGGAGGGGCCGCGCCGACCCGCACCCGCCCGGCCACGTAGCGGCGCCTGCTGCCTGCTCACGGCCCCTCCGGCCTCGGCCTGGGAGCCAGAGACGCGCCTGGCGAGGGCGCAGGGAGGAGACGTGGCTTGGGGTCCGCACTGCAGGCAGCGCCGACTCCGGGGTTTGTCCCAGCGCCTCTCTGGAGTCGGACCGGGGGGCTGTGGGGGAGCGCGGCCCAGCTCCCCAAAGCAGGGGGAGCTCCCCAAAGGCTCTGACGCGCACTCCTGGTCTCGGTTTCCCTACTGGGAACGGGTGTGATCTCGGCCTCACCGTCCACGCGGGAGGAGTGAGTTGGCGAGAAAGCCGGGGGTCAGCAGACAAGGCCACGGCCTGCTGGGCACGCCCAGGGCAGACCTGGTCAGCAGCTGAGCCGAGGAGCCGGGCTGGTCCGCAGAGGGACGTGCCGTGCCCTGCGCTTCCTGGAGTGTCCAGGACAGCGAGCCCAGCTGCGCTCCTGTTCTCCGCTTCTCCAGAGCCGAGACCCCGCGTGGTCACTGCTGCCCGCAGGTGGACAGGCCGGGCTGGGGGGAGACCACGCCGGAGGCCACAGAGAGCCCCATCGCAGGATGCCCGGCGTGCACGGGGCTCCCCCGCGCCCTGACAGCCAGTGGCTGGTCCTTCAAGGACACGTGCTCTCGAGTCTCCTCCCGTGAATGAGGCTGAGCGAAGCGTTGCCCCAGAGAGGCCGGACTGGCATATTCAGAAGAACACGGGCCGTCACCCGCTCGCCTTCCCCCCACGCCTCGGCGGGGGGCAGAGGGTCTGTCCACACCTCGGAGCTCGGCCCCCGCTGCTGGACAGCCGGGGAAGGACGGGGGGTGTGAGGCGCCAGAGCCGGTTGGAGCAACGAGGACACGTAGCGGACATCCAGAGAGACGGCTGGACAAGGCAGAATCCTCACCAGAACCAGCGGACACTGGAAAACCAAGAGAGGCTTCAGGGGCTGCGGGCATGAGGGTGAGAAAATGAAAACTGCAGACAAAAACGTCCTTCTGCCGACAACGTAAAGGAATGAAAATGGGGGCGGGTGGGGCCTGCTCTCCTGTGTGCGGGAGACGCTGACCACGAATGACGCGTAAGCAGGTTGCAGAAAGAGAAGAGTTCGTTGACCAGAGTCCTTGAAACTGGCCACGATGTACTTCTTGCGGGAGACCAGCTCCCCCAGACCCAAAGTTTTGTCAAAAAACCGCATTTTCACACAAGGGACACACACACTACAGTTAAAGGTTGTCCCGGCACACTGCCGGTGGCCTTGACGTGCTGAGGCACCCCAAACTCGGGCTGTGTCCCCGCCGCAGTCCCCGCCGCGGCCCCCGGCCCCACTGCCGTCTGGCTCCTTTCTGCTCCCCCATCACCTCACCCCTGTTCAGGGCGAGCCGGCCCCCCCAAGTGCTTTGGAGGGGATTCCGAAGAGCACCCCTACTTGCTGGTAGTTGGGAAGAGACGAGCGAAAACAAACCCCTCTTTTCTATAAAAGTTTATTTTGTGATTTTTCCAAGAGGTGTTAAGGGCAAAATTGAAATTAGGTAAAGATAAAGAACGACAGTGTATAAAAATAATTTAAACACACATACTACCAATAAAGCAACATTTCCTTCTAGTGACAACTGGTAGCAATCTTGCCCAAGATTTTTCCCGAAGGTGTTAAATATATTTTAGATAACAGTCCACACACACACACACACACACACACACACACACACATATATACAGCTCAAGTATTTTTTTCTGTGCATTCCAGCTAATTCACACAGCTAAGTGAAAAAAAAAAACAAAACAAAACAAAGAAGACACCATGCCAGAGTCCTCAGAGCCGAACAAGTGTGCGTTGGATTGTGAAATTTGCAGGTGCGCTACGATTCCCTTCCCAGAGCTGTCACTAGCCTGTACTCTGTGGTCTCAGCGGAAAAATCAAAACGTGACCCCGGGGCCTGCCTCTCCCGCGGCCGTTGCGCTCAGGCTCCGGCCACCGTCGGGCCGGCCGGGCGCGACGGGCGGGGTGACGCTCAGGCGGGCTCCGGCCGCTCACATCTGGCCGACCCTCTGCTTCAGGGCCAGCAGCTCCTGCCGGATCTCCCCGGGCAGGTCGGCGTTCACCTGCTCCTCCAGGTACTTCTGGATGTCCGCCACCTCCTCCTCCCAGAACTCCTTGGAGATGTGGAAGAGCGCCCCGACGTCGATGCCGCCCAGGCCCACGAGGTTCAGGGCGCCCTCCTCCGGGACGTAGCCCACGGGCGTGAGCCTGGCGCCGGCCGCCCCGTCGATCCGGTCGAACATCCACGCCAGCACCCGGGAGTTCTCCCCGAAGCCCGGCCAGAGGAACTTGCCGCTCCTGTCTTTGCGGAACCAGTTGACGTGGAAGATCCTGGGCAGCTTGACCCCGGGGCGCCGCGCCATGCTCAGCCAGTGCGCCAGGTACTTGCCGAAGTTGTAGCCGAAGAAGGGCCGCATGGCGAAGGGGTCGTGCATGATGGTTTTGCCTGTGGGCACAGGGGTGCGGTGGGCCCACCTGCCTCCTGGGCAGCTC